TCTTTGCAAACCTCTGCAATTACGCACATGGGCTAGAAAAATAAGCATATATTGCTGCTAAACACTTATTCCTGAATTTGTTCCCGATTATTTTAGCTCACTTACTACTCTGTTCTCTTAGGTTTATTTATGTGGCTGAAATACTGGTTTCAAAAAATTACTCATAGTTTGAATTTCATGTACCAAACACCAGTTACTCATAAAGGAAAACTACCAAAACTAGAGAGATTCCATTTTAGGTAATGAATACAACATTTCCTAATGGAGAAATGAGGAGAAATATTTTCTGCCTTCCCTCCTGTTAATTTCTGAGCCTGGTTTTCACTCCATTGCGTCCAAAGGAGTTGAGTGGTATACAACAATTCTTCATGCACTGAAGGGAAAAGAACTTTTTATTAGCAGGATTTATGGCTTTATAATTTACTTCATACAGGGAAACCATCTCAACGTGCTGAACAACTAACCAAGTATTATTACCAAACTATACACTACACATCTCTGAAATTCGACCCTGTAGATTTCCAGAGCTGTAACAATCTTATGGACCTCCTAGAATATACTCTACTACAAAGGCACTCGCTCATGCTGTCATCGGTGTGTATTTCTTTTCAGCAGGTTGCACCACACCTTGAGGCCCAGATGAGCCATCGACCAGGCTTTATCACCACATTGTGGATCTCTACATTTATGTTAATTGAACTCCTGTCTGGAGCTGGAAAGCCTCAAGGAGTTTTCAAGCTATAGAAGAGACAGATCCATCTTCATTTTGCCCTCAGCACTGAGCCTTTAGGTCCTATCCTTGTCTCCTTCATCTGCCTTTCCCAAGGTGGCTCTTTCTTCCTATCTCTTTTCCTTGCCTACTGCCCTTCCTGCTTACTCAAACATTTGGCATCAGGACCATCTGCTCAGCCAGTGCCAATCCTCCTCTTCTTGCTCCATCCTCTCCTGGCTGACACTTGGTTCTCTCAGTTTCTGCCTCACAGCCCTAGTCCCAAAGCATATACCCCTTCCTTCAGTATCTTTGTGCAGCCATCCCAAATTATTCCTTGCTCTGATGGTCTTCATCCAAATCTGGCATCAATCACCCTTAACCATAAGCTCCTGACTCCTGTGGTTGGTTTTCCCCTTGTCTCTAAATTGTTTTACCCAATTTTACCTTCTACCCCTCAAGCGTCTCCCAGACTCATTCTCCTCATCTGGTCATTCCTTCAGATCTTTCCCTCCCCTACATTCAGCCTCTTTCTTAGTACGCTTTTCCTTCTTACCGAGTCGGCTCTTCTCTCACCTGTGCTAGAAACAGCCTTCTTATCCATGGAGTCTGGGTGGTCTTTGAAAGCATAGAAGAAACAGGCTCTGGGGTTGTCAGGGCCGGCAGCACCTGGCCCAGGACAGATAGGAGCTGACATTATAGGGAAGATCAGGCTTCTTTCCTGTGGCTGTATGTGGGAGCAGGCTCAGACAGTCTGTGGAGTTGGTACCTGCACATTTTAGACTGCTTTAAAGAGCTGCAAGAAGCTCAGGTCTGCTAAATCAGAAGAGAATTGTTTGTTGCTAAAAAAGAAAGACCTCTCTACTGATAGGAAGAATTAAATTGCTCTGAGGAAGACAGTCAAACACAAAGACAGATTGCCACTGAGGCTATGAAAACCTTATCGTTCAAGGACCTGAAGCAAAAGTTAAACAAACTCTCAGAAATACTCCAGGCAGACCTGACTCTGTTTTGGCATACAGGGGTGGATTAAGATTACCCAGCAAGGTCCTCATTTCCTAAGGTTTATGAAAAAAGGCTAAATGCAATTTTACAGAGTTCATAATTTCAGAAGTTTCAGAGGTTTTTGGTAAGGATGACAAAAACCACAAAAGTAATCTCCTAACAGATTTCAGGTTTCTACTCCAAAACATGACAGCGAACTGTTAAAAGAAAAAAAAAAAATCACCAAGATGTCTTAAACACACAAAACAATGTGTTCCTCCCTACCCTTGTTCTTGGAAATGAGTGAACTGCTATGGCTGAAATTTGCCAAAACTTGAGCCTGAGTCAGACACCTGGCATGTAAAATTTCAGCTGTTGGTTACGTTTTGGCAAAATTCTAAGCAGTTAAAAACAGGTCTTCATAATGAGAAGTGACAGGCAACCTTAATAATATGCAGACATGTCTAGAATATAAAAATATTTCCCAATCTGGCTCAATGCAGCACACATTTCTGACACGCTGCCACAAAAGCTTCTTTATCTTTTCTATTATTTTTCTTGGCTTAAATATTACAAATGTTAGACTTCAGTGTCGCATAAAGAGAATTTAATTGTTATGCAATTTGAAAACAAAAAGTGTTTGGCAAGGCAGTACAGCAAGTTAAGTCCTATTGTGAGTAGCAGTAGATCTTAATTATCCTTGGAAAAATACCAAGCCTATAGGCTGATCAAGGAAAACAAAAAAAAGAATTTAAGCCAAAGAGGTAAGACCTTCAATAAAATTGTTACCATTAAGGATCGGACCATGCCAGGCACTTTGCTGGTCTTTGGGGAAGGTTACACAGGCTGTTTCCTCCTGAAGCTCAGAGTATCTATACAGCATCCTGAGCTTTCAGCCTATAGCATGGGATGATCCTGTGATTACTTCACCTGATGACAACCGCCACTGCAACAGCCACCATGCAAAAATCTCTGCTTTAAAGGTATTTGTTAAGGAAGCTTCTGGATCACTGCAGGCTGTTGCCTGTACATAATGATTTTAAGAAAAAATAAGAATGAACAAACCTGGATTTGCAGGACTGAGGCCTATTAAATTATAGCTGTTCCAGAGAAAATATTGGAGAATAGGGTAAAAAATCCCATGAGATGCCAACTTGATGGGAATGGAAAATGTGTTGTCTTTCTTACGATGTGCCAAGCTGGTGAAACTGGAATGTGTTTTGAATAAAAAGGAGAGGAAAATGGTATCTGTAATAGATACGAAGTTATGAGAAGCCAATTATTTTGATTTTAGAGTCCTGGCACAAGGTTGGGTGAAAAAGTGATTTAATGTCATTATCTTGCAAAAGCTAATGAAGATATGCTAGCTATCAGCTATGTTGGGTTATACATGCCAAAAATAAATTATTCAAGAATATGTAAATTAGTTTGGATGTAAAAAGGGTGCTAAAGAGCTGTCTTACGGAACTGTTCCCCAATGGGCACAAGGTAACCCAATATATAAACCCTGATTCTGGCATGTTGGTATAATACTCCTATACTGGCTAAGTATGAGAGTACCTATCTCCCTATTGAACTAACTTGGACTTTGCAATAAAGGTAATGAACTCATATTCTCTTTGGTTTATGCAAACACTTTTTCAACAATAAATTTAGTAACTGTAGCTGTTGAGAAGGAAAAACCTAATAAATCCAACAAGTTAATAACTCAAGGAATTAAAATAATTAGAACTTCACTGAGCAGCTACAGGATTTGTGTCTGACTCATAGCCTAATTATAGCCCAAGCACAGAAGAATCTCTCCCTGTGAGTCTGTTGGAGTTAGGCAGAGTAAGCCATTACAGGGCCCCAACAACCCAGACACAGAAAAACAATTCAGACATTCTACTACTTCCCCCAAGATCCCTTACATCTCAAATAGCCATTAATTTCAACACACGCATAAAAATATAGATAAGAAAGAAGATGAAATGGAATGTGTCTGTACAACACGTATTTTATAAACAACTTTGCCACTCAGGGATGTCCATAAGAGTAGAAATCTGCTAATTCTGCTTAGTGGCCCATTGCAAATGACTTTTTTTGAATTAGGATACAAATGAACCCACAATATTACAAATAAAGAGAACATCTGCATCATGAGGCACTGCTTGTTTATTGATGTGACAAATATAATTTAAAATTTAATTACTATTGACATTTCTCAGAATACAAGCATATTTCATAAATAGCTGGGTTTATACCATGAACTCCCTCTACAGCATTCTGATCAAATACATCTGCTGTGCCACTTATATGGCATTTCACAGATTAAGGTTTAAATGGAAAATAACTAATCCCCACAAAGTCCCCCTGATGAAGATCAGCATTAGCTTCATTCTACAGAGGAGGCACAGAGTACTCAATTTTATCTAAAAGGTGGTGGGCATATGAACACTGACCGTGAAAAGCAATAGCAGGCTGATGACAAATGTGATTTATCAGCTTTCCTCCCTAGCTGATGGAGCATACACTTACCTGGGTATGGGGCACATGGGGGGGGACCGTGGAGCAGGCTTTGGAAGAACCGCTGGAGTACAGGGTGGCCGTAGAGCCACAGGGCGGGAGGAAAAGCAGTCATCTGCATCAGCCATAAACTCGAGCTACGCGACTGAAATTTTGCAACAACTTCTCCACTTCGCTAGCACCATTTGATGGGTATAAATGAGCTGCCAGCTGCCCATCCTCCCAAAGCTGTCTCATATTTTCAACACCAGAATGCACAGACTTTCTCTGAGCTAGGTTAAAAGACACAAATATGAGCAGCAGCTAACGTACCACGCTTGCTAGGATTCCCAGCTTTTTTAACAGAGGTGAAATGGTACTAAAAATAAGACATTCTTGCAATGCTTTGCAACAGCACTGGTAAGAATTCAGAGAGGGAGCTAAAAAGAAGACTTTCACTGGAGTGTAATAGTAAGGAAAGACTACATGTGAAAGGAAATAAAAGTCAGAATTTTGAAGCTGAAAGTAACCCTCCTAATAGGTTGCCTGCAAGGTAGCCAGAGAAGGAACATCAGCTTATGGCTCTAGACATCTTTATGATGCAAACCACTGACACATGGCATTTTTTAAGGGAATACCTTTTTCTTAGACTGAAACAGGAGCATAAGAAAGGGACCAGACCTGTGTGTGCAAAACATAGGGTAGGCCTACCAACAAAATACTTATTTGCCAGAATCCATTATGCATTCAGTCAGCAGCGGCATGACATAAAGGAGATCATGTCACCAAAAAGCTGTTCAACCTTGAAAAAGAAAGTACTTACGTATCTCCTGACTTGCGGTAATTTTCTGGACATTCCAAAGACAGACAGCGAAAGCCCCCTTGGATGTTAAAGCAGGTCTCATTGAAAGAGCAGTTGTGGCTTTCTGCAACACACTCATCAATATCTGCCAAATGGAAAAAGGTGAGTGGATTAAACACATGCCTTTCCTCTACTTGCAGGTGCCAGATGATGAAAGCATCATATTAGTTACTACAGAACATCGGATGCAATTAAATGTTATTACAGGATTGGAAGGGGAGGGCAGGAGAACAGAAAAAGAAGAAAACTAAACCCAAACAACAAGCAAGAACAAGAAAAGGAAGAGCAGCAGTGCCACTAAGTGGACAAGACCTAAATATTTGCTGAAATGTTTATAGCTTGGTATTTCCTTTTAATGGCTAAACTAACTCATACCATCTCACAGTGGGAATCTTCACCTTCAGAATTTATTAGAATTCTTTAATAATGTTATAGAAAGCATTCTCCACTGCATTCTATAGTTTATAGAAGAAATTTCCTGTATGTTTATTAAAAAATACTGGTTTCTTCAGATTTCAAGCTGATGTTTACTGCTTTGTCTGTATTATTGTAGGAAAGGCATTATTTTTAAACATAAAAACTTGCTAGAGCTTTTCAGAAGTCCACAATCCAGTCAGGTATCCCTGCAGCTATTGAACTCACCTTGGCAGTTGCGTGCATTGGGTGCCAACCTGTAACCAGTGGAGGGACAAGTACATTGAAAGCTTCCAGGAATATTAATACATCGAAAGGAACAGATATGCCCTCCAGTAGGTAAAGCACATTCATCAATATCTGCAAGAAGAAAACACCACTAATTCACTATGTGTTCATGACGACCAACCAAGTGCACATGTACGGTGTTCCTGCTGCGAGCTTCAAACACAATTTCAAGATTCTAAGTGCTGGGCATGGAAAAAGATCATCAGATAGGAGTGGCTCTAGTCAAAAAAGGCTGTCGGGAATAAATGGAGGTGTGAAGAAAATTAAAAGCAATATAAGGGCCCAAGAGACAAAGTAAATGGATAAGAGCAAGCACTTCACAGCGACTTGTATCATAGTACTTTAGAAAAGGGAGGAAAGAGGAATAGTTTTATCCCTGTTCTTACAAAAAGGAAATTGAGGTGAGGTGTTCTGCCCAAGGTCTTACTGTCTAGTAAGTCCTGGAGACCTAAGTCCAAATTCAGGATCTTGTTCACGAGGTCACACCCACATCCTCCTTGTATTTGAGGAAAACCTACTCACACATTAGTTCAGAACCAGCCACAAAAAGAGGATATATAAAATACTACTGAGTATTATTACGTATCACATATGTAACATATAAATGTGTTTGTAGCTTCACTTGCTGAAGACTAGAAATTCTGTTAGTTCCTCAGAAAAAAAAAAAAAATCTGGTAAGTTACAGAAATATGCCAAGCTACAATTCAGTGTAAACAGAAAAACTGACACCACACAAGCAGAGGTATTTCTAGACTAGGACATGGGTGGAAGACCTTCATTAAATAAAGTTTCACAGTTTCACAGGAAAATACCAAAGAGAATCAAATCTTAAAATGAAACAATTACAGGAACGTGGAACTGTTCATGTATGTTACAGTGAGAATAAGAAATGCTCACTCATCCTCTACCTGCAAAACAATAATGCTTACCTTCACATGAAATCCCGTCTATGTCACTAAGTTGAAAGCCACGGCGGCAGTAACACTGATAGGAGCCATACACATTGGCACACTCTTGACTACAGGGGCTGCTCTCACACTCATTTAAATCTGAAATGCAAAATTATATACCTGAACCCCAAATTTCTTGCTATATTCATCACTCCTATTACAGGACTAAGGCAAAACTTTGGAAAACAATTTTTTAAATTAAAAAAGGATGGCATGCACATCACTGAGCAAGCTGGAAATAAGGGGCTTTGGGTGTATTACTCTCAACAGGGTCTAGCAGTATAGGTTAATCTGCACCGTGCTATTATTTCCCACTGTCCTTCAAAGTGTGTGACTTGGAGGGAGTCTTTAGGACCACACTTGCATTTTTATATCTGGATATCAGCAGGGCTGGGTTTGAAGGTCTTGAATCTGATCTAGCTGAATCACCCTTTAAAATACAGTTAATACAGGCTCATACACCTCTGCGTGATCCAGCCAAAGGGCAATATATTGGAACTGTGGGCTACGGTGGCCTTGATTAATCGTAACTGCATTGATTTCTGATGCCATTTCAGTGCAGTCTTACAAGCTAAAATCAAAAGGAAATAGCTAAACAGCAATGAGCTGTATTTCACACTATACACCAAAGCATGACAGCCGTACCTTCACATGACCTGCCATCAGTTGAAAGTTTGAATCCCATGGTACAAGTGCAGTAATAGGAACCAGGAGTATTCTCACACTTGTGAGCACAAAGGCGGCCTGGATAGCGTCTGCATTCATTGATATCTGCAATGATAAATACGTACAGAGGTCTATGCATTGGCTGGCTTCACTGCAGTAGTAGCCTGGACAAGAATGTGGTCATAAAAGTTTGATTTTTATTTTCCAGATCTAAATTTCATACTAGAGAGGGAAGGACTTGCTCAAAATGCTCATTTAGAAGCACCCCAGTGCACAATTAAATTAGATCTATAAAGAAGAAAGTTGCTTTGATCTTCCAAAGGAATGTTTTGCTGTAGGTGCATATAAAAGTATCACAGAAAACAATTACACGCACTCTCATAATCTTACCTTTTAACAGGATAACAGAGAACATGTTGACGATACTAATACAGCTTCCTTTGAAGTATCAGCATCTCTTAATATGGTATTAGATTTATACAAATAATACAGTGGTCAATTTTACATTCAGATGAAAGAGGTTATGCAGAGAGCAATAACATTCTTTACACGGGATCATTTTTTAAAATGCCATGGCTGCATGTATTTAAGTCGATAGATGCAACTTACCAATACAAGTTCTACTGATGACATCAAAAGAATAGCCAGATTTGCACTCACAACGGTAATTGCCTGGGGCATTTATACAAACATGTCCTTCTCCACAAGGCTGATTAGAGGAGGAGCACTCATCCACATCTAAAAAAAGGAGAGAAGTGATTGAAAGTACACTTCTGAGCAGGCAAGTTGAGAGAAGAGCAACATGTTAACATATTTCTGTGTTCCCTAGTAGTTATAAAGTGTTTTGAAACAGAAAGCAAGATTTTGATCTAGCTCCCAGCTTCCACAAGAAGATCAGAGTCACAAAACCAAACTATTCTTACTGAAACAGGTTCTCTCTCAGGTGTCCTGTTAATGTTGATGGACTTGGGAAGGAAAAGAAATCGGAAATCAGACAATCTTTAGAGGAAATCAGGTGCAAAATTGTTTTATTATGCACACTCAATATTCATGGATCAGCTCTTCAGCTAGTGTAAGACGCCAGAGACCCACAGTCAGTAGTGCTTTGATAAGCCATTTACAGAAATTGAAAACATGCAAAAACACCTCTCCCTGCAAAAGCCACCTTAAAAGCCAGCCAAAGGCATATATGCCTTTCAACATTACTTGAATGGCTTCTGTGGGACATTAAATGGGCATTATGTTATACCTATGTATCGGGGAGATTTGAGACCACACAGCATTGTTCCAATACACTAACACAGTCACAGACAATGCCATTTTTGGGGTGTGATTATCACTTCTCCTCTTCTCAGAATATAGGGTTTCATGAGTTATATGAAGGACAGAGAGTGGATCCTTGTCATTCTTCACTTGTTGGGAATGCCATGAGGGAAAGAACAGGATCAAGAATTGACTGTGGGAACGAGAAAAACTTGGGCAAAGTGCAAGAAGCTGGTAAACATAAATCATAGATGTGACTTATTTTCTTCAAACTGTTTTGTCTTCAGAACTGTTACTTACCTACGCATCTTGTTCCGTCTTCATTGAGATGATAACCTCGGCCACAGCTGGGTGAGATTCGCTGGCAGGTATACGAGCCATCAGTGTTAATACATATCTGCCCAGCTGGGCATGGTGTGTTGGTGCTCAGGCATTCGTTGATATCTACAAGAGCACAACGAGTCAGTGTAACTATCTGCTGCCTAAAGATGTTTAAGGCAAGATGCTTTCCTGATGTAATCCTTCAGAGGATTACATCCTGATGTAATCCTTCAGAATTTGAAAAGCGCTGCCCATGGGAGAACACAACTATTCCTGCCATTTAGCTTCACTGATAAAATGCTTTCAGAGTGATGATCGGGAGAGGTATGAGAGGCCCAGATCCCACTGAGAAGCAGTGGAAATTGGGTATAGAACTTGTATTTGTTTAAAAGCCTTTGAAAGTCTCCCCTAAACACATGAAGAGATGATCGACAATTCAGTTCACCAGCTCAACCAGTTATGCTGCAGTCTGTGGGTTATGTTCCACAGTGAATGAGCTATTTGGTAGTATGTGCTCATATAGGTAGTAGCTGACTCCATTTTTACAGAGAGATAAACTACTGCTCAAGGTATTCACCATGAATACCTTACCTTGTCTTATGGTAAGTTGTCCATATAAACACATGAGAATGAGAATAGCTTATTTATGTATTCACAAGACTATGCAGCCCTCTACCATCCATCAAACGTCTGTTTTTTTACAAACTGGACATCCTATCACTTTGTGACAAAGATATCCTTTGCCTGATAAGAACCCACTATAAAGTAAAATCTCAGAAAATCTAATGAGATGAGACTAAGCTGTATTAGAGTATGATCTGGTGTGGTGTATCTAGCCAAGAAGGTAAGGAACTCACTGTTACGCAAGGTTAGCATCTGCTATTAGTTTCGGGGAAAGGAGTTTTAGAGTCGGGAGTCAGTGACTACAGGACGTACTGAGGCAGCCTTTGCTACCTAGAAAAGTTAATGTAACTAAGACCTGACAGTTTGTAGGAGCAACACTGTTTGTGAGTGTATGGGCTTGCATCCCATAACCTTCAGCAAAGTCCAGCTTCATGTGAGTACTTCTCTGCCTAAAACTTTCCCAACTGTTTCACTGGGATATTATCATCATTTTACGCAGTGGTACTGTTAACGAGCCACTGCCTTCCAGTTGGTATGGTATTAAGCACATCATCTATCTTGCAAAATGTTGGCTGCCTGAAGATGGGGAAGGGTATGTCCTTTCAGCCAGGCCTATCCCAGCTCACTAGAGTGTAAAATTTTCAACTTCCAATGACACTGGAAATACAGGAAAGTTTTCATACTTTTTCCCCCTCAACACCACATAGGGCAGCACTTGATTCACAGTTTGTAAAATCAGCCTGTGAAACTGTTTTATTTTGATATATATTTATTTGGTAAATATTTTGAGCAAATGCATTTTAGGGGACGTAACTATTGCTGCTGCAAATTGATGTGGCTTTGCTAATGTCAGTGAAGGCACGCTAACTTCTAACAACTGTGGACCTGGTGCTAGCTATGGCAGATACACATCTTCAAAGGGTTGTGCACAAGCCCTGGCCCCCCTTCATTTTAAAGGCTGCAATTTTGTTTTCAGCCTCAGTGTTTCCAGTGTCAGATTTCGGCACTACAGGGTATGATATGGTCAGGAGAACGAGGAGCTGACAATGAGCTAGACTTGGCAGCTGCTGCCGCTCAGCCAGTTCCACAAGTCCAAGACATGCTACGCCGCTGGGGGAATTCAAAGTTAAGTTGAGACTTGAAACTACTACTCAAGGGAATAACTGATAGATTTGTAGGTCACATTAGACAATTCCATTTAAGTCTGCTGGAAACCAGTAATTCTAACATATTTATATAAAGGTTATAATTCTGTTTTGTAGGAGTCTTGGAAACAAGGCATTAGCCCGACAGATTGTAATCAGTCTTAAAAATAAAACTCCTCTCCACAGTGTATTATAACTGGCCCATCATTCTCATACATAGTAAGATTCTTGATAAGCTATAACTTAAACGGGGACAGGTCTGGAAATACCTACGTACCTGTAGAACTACGCATACTAATATCAACAAAGTGTGTTACAAAGGATGTCATAAATTACAGCTTTTTATACCAAGCTTTAGCTAAAACCTTTTGGATAGAGAGAGATATATCAGAAATTTTTTACAAATTTTGTTTCCGATAAAATCCCCAAAGACTTAATGAAAATGTTCAAATGCAGCTAACTGCCTTAGGTAACCAAATCTCAGTAAAAACAGAGATCTAGTATGTAAATCTTTTATTTAAATGGTTTTTGTCTGTAAATCTTACCTGTGGGACCAAGCCTGCCTTTAAAGGAGCAGAAAAAACACATAGCAGTGCAATGCATACGTGCCTGAAGAACGACTTGAAAAGCTCAGAACTCACCCAGTGAAACTACAACTTATCTCAGAGGCAACACTTAAGTATCCACTGAAATAAGAATATGTCTTACCAATACAGTTGCCTAGCGCATCTTGTATAAACCCATTCATGCACTGTAGCTTGGGTCGGCAACGGAAAGATCCGGGAGTATTCTGACAGATAAAATCGGGGGGGCAGTTATGAGTACCAGTCTCACATTCGTCAATATCTGGTACATCACAAAAAAAAATTGTTAGCATGAGTTTGACAGAAGCTTTTTCATCACATTTAAAACATAACACATAGTCAAAAACATCAGACAGATTAATCCTCAGCATATCTTCATGCAATTCAATGCAGTGAACCAGGATCAATCTGACCTACTACCTCAAACAGAATCTCAGCAAAAACAGGTAGAATAAGGGTTTTGTTATTATTTTGTTATTAACATTATATGTAGGGGGTGTGTGTGTTTATTATGCTTTACAAATTTAGTTCTCACAACTAAATGATTCAAAATTATTACAGAGCACCTCAAGCATCGTGTTCAGCAGCATTCAGTGTTGATTCAGCAGTATGCTTATACATGGGCTCAGCTTTGAAGTCAGTAAGATTTAATTATATCCAAGTGCAATTTTATTTTAACCTTAGATCCAATACAGATATTGTTCATTTCTTTCATAAGGGAATTAATTGGCGTTGATTCTCATCCATATTAAAGCTTGCACTATCCTTGCATTATTGTGCTTTAAAATGCACATAAATATGATTTCTGCTCACTTTAATATTCCATTCCAGTTCAGAACAGACAATAAATATTTGTGAATAAATTATGATTCACATAAAGCAGACAAGGGCTAATGAGGCTTCATTCATGAATGTAACCCTGTCCACATAAAAGCAGCTAAAATTTAATGTTTGCCACCTTGCAATGGGATGAAATCTCCTAAAGCTATTAAAATACAGAAACTTTCTAGCAATAGGATGCCTCAGCTTTGCAACTGCTTATCCCTAGAGCTTTGTGAGACTTAAATAATGATTGTGGAGCCTGTTTTTAATTTAGGATGGGTTAATACTGAATTG